TCATGACTGATGTCTTGTGTGACTAGAGCAGTCTATCATGACTGATGTCTTGTGTGACTAGAGCAGTCTATCATGACTGATGTCTTGTGTGACTAGAGCAGTCTATCATGACTGATGTCTTGTGTGACTAGAGCAGTCTATCATGACTGATGTCTTGTGTGACTAGAGCAGTCTATCATGACTGATGTCTTGTGTGACTAGAGCAGTCTATCATGACTGATGTCTTGTGTGACTAGAGCAGTCTATCATGACTGATGTCTTGTGTGACTAGAGCAGTCTATCATGACTGATGTCTTGTGTGACTAGAGCAGTCTATCATGACTGATGTCTTGTGTGACTAGAGCAGTCTATCATGACTGATGTCTTGTGTGACTAGAGCAGTCTATCATGACTGATGTCTTGTGTGACTAGAGCAGTCTATCATGACTGATGTCTTGTGTGACTAGAGCAATCTATCATGACTGATGTCTTGTGTGACTAGAGCAGTCTATCATGACTGATGTCTTGTGTGACTAGAGCAGTCTATCATGACTGATGTCTTGTGTGACTAGAGCAGTCTATCATGACTGATGTCTTGTGTGACTAGAGCAGTCTATCATGACTGATGTCTTGTGTGACTAGAGCAGTCTATCATGACTGATGTCTTGTGTGACTAGAGCAATCTATCATGACTGATGTCTTGTGTGACTAGAGCAGTCTATCATGACTGATGTCTTGTGTGACTAGAGCAGTCTATCATGACTGATGTCTTGTGTGACTAGAGCAGTCTATCATGACTGATGTCTTGTGTGACTAGAGCAGTCTATCATGACTGATGTCTTGTGTGACTAGAGCAGTCTATCATGACTGACGTCTTGTGTGACTAGAGCAGTCTATCATGACTGATGTCTTGTGTGACTAGAGCAGTCTATCATGACTGATGTCTTGTGTGACTAGAGCAGTCTATCATGACTGATGTCTTGTGTGACTAGAGCAGTCTATCATGACTGATGTCTTGTGTGACTAGAGCAGTCTATCATGACTGATGTCTTGTGTGACTAGAGCAATCTATCATGACTGATGTCTTGTGTGACTAGAGCAATCTATCATGACTGATGTCTTGTGTGACTAGAGCAGTCTATCATGACTGATGTCTTGTGTGACTAGAGCAGTCTACCATGACTGATGTCTTGTGTGACAAGAGCAGTCTATCATGACTGATGTCTTGTGTGACTAGAACAGTCTATCATGACTGATGTCTTGTGTGACTAGAGCAGTCTATCATGACTGATGTCTTGTGTGACTAGAGCAGTCTAACATGACTGATGTCTTGTGTGACTAGAGCAGTCTATCATGACTGATGTCTTGTGTGACTAGAGCAGTCTACCATGACTGATGTCTTGTGTGACTAGAGCAGTCTATCATGACTGATGTCTTGTGTGACTATACTGATACAGAAATGCTGTCCATAAATAAACATTAGTCCACCGTTCTAGTTAACATGTATGTAGTTTATGGGACATCATTACGACTTCTATTGCCCTTGCTTCCTACTTGTCGACAACATGGATGTCGGGCTGACTTAACAGCTAGGAAGTGTTCACTGAAAGAGGTAGATAAACATCTCTGCCTGGAAATACAATTTGTCAAGCAAGTGCTATAACTGACTGAATGAAGATATAAGTTTGGATTTGAATAAATGGAAATGTGCGTGTTTTGACATGTGCGGATAGAGCAGTGTGAGAGAAAATCAATAGGGAGGTGGAAGATGTCACACTACGTCAACAACAGCAGTCAAGGGGGGAGACGTCGCTGTTTATGTATACAAATGAATTGGATATTGCTTCAAAAGCTGGCATGGGGATGCCCTGAAGTTTCTCAGCAGTGAAAGCAAGTTTCGTCAGTGGAGCAGAGTTTGACGTGATGGTAGAGAAACATCACAGGGCCAACACTGTCTGTTGTGGTGGTAGAAACATATCATCAGTTGAACACTGTTGTGATGGTTGAACTGCATCATTGGTGGAACACTGATATGATAGTAGAGCTACGACTTCGGTCCAAAACTCCATTGTGATAGAATATTTACATCATCAATGGAACACTGTCTGGTGGAAAACAATTAGCCTGGTGATATGGTAGAGCTGCACCATCAATTAAACACTTTTCAGTGATCATAAATTTTCAAAGTAATTTTGGGTCTAGCTGTGTTTGTGCAAACACATGATGGTATCGGGTTATTGTCAGTTCCCTTAAGTACGGCCGACACTGGATAAACATTTGACTGAATTGTATCATGAATTTTAACCCTTCCGCCCAGCACTGACTGAATGATGTCAAGGATAACCGCATCATGTGTACTATTGTGTACTGTTGTGTACTGTTGTGTATTGTTGTGCATTGTTGTGTATCTTATCATTGCTCCTCTACTCCCAGACAATGATGTTGCAGCAACACCTACAGCACGTACATTACAACATCATCTACTGCATCAGACCATGCCCAGGAATGCTGAGTGTCCACAGCTTGTACAGAAATACCATGATCAGGTGTGATAACACCAATATCTCTTGGGTTTGGGGGTAAAATCAACATAAACCGAAAGATCCTTTCAAATGGTTAGCACACTTTCAAATTACCTGCCCTCGATTTTCATTTGCCAGTGTGTATATGTTAGCTATTCAGTCAGAACAGTCAGAATGTGACTTACAATGTTGGGTTGGCTGTATCAAAAACATGGGGGCCAACCCATTAATTACAAAACAGTTTCCACGAAATTGAACATTGAAAAACTGACGGGCATGCAAAAGAAAGCTCACAAAACCTGTTTGATGGAGAGGATGTCTTCATTTCCACCTGCCTCACCCATTTTTATTTTCCTATCTCAACATTTCGGTGACGGTGAAATGTTAACGAAAATGAAGGGCGGATAAGTTGCGATTGCAAGAATCATGGAATGGATGCAGGGGTTAGTGTAGGTGTACTGAAATGTGAGACCTGGAGATATTGGGCTGGCGTGATGAATGATGTGGCAGCTATAGCATCCCACACGGAACCATTACATTCTTCTGGAGTCACGACAGTAGCTACTGGACATTTGTCAAACAACACTGAACACTATCAGGTTTAACTCTGAGGGAACACTGCTTCAGTTACAGCAGATTCTACCTTACAGTCTGATAGACTGCCAGTGGTGGAGCATCTACCGGTATGTTACACCAGGAACTTGCTGTGATGACCACATTACTGTGATGGAAATGTTCTGAAGGAAATTAATAAGGGAACAGATAAAGTACAAATGTTCCTATATTCTTTTCTAGGTTTCTTCACATGCTTTGTGTTGGTGAGATTCTGGGAATATAACACTTTCATGTGTTCCCTTATTTGTTTCCATTAGTATAATAATATTCTTTTCAAACAAACCACTATAGCAACATCAAATGCTGTCCTTACTTCAATAACAGTGCTAAATAGAGGTGCTCATTCTTACATTAGATACAGCAAGTTTGGCAATATACTTCAGTCAGAAAAGTTGACAAACACGGAATTGGTTCATGAATTAAAGTGAAGGATCCGGTTTTAGTTACAGAAACACTCCTATACTGAAAACTCTGGAACTGATGCCCCTCCAAGTTAAATGTAAGTGTTGGCCTTCCAGACATAAGATGTGCCATGAATCTATTACAAGTTGCCCTGTTTTAACCTAAAAATCTGATCAGTAACCAATAACACCAACACTGCAGACGTAGAATTCCATGTCAGGGTCATAGCAGTTCAATAGAATAATGTCGTTTGTCAGCCTCACAAACTTCAACTGCTTGACATGAAATCAAAAGCATGAGATTCCAATAGAGCATATTAGTATGGAAGTTCACTGAGAACAGTACAAGTGTTGGTAGTGAAGTAGTCTACTGCAAGTTTAGGCTCAACCAGCTTTCAAAATCAACGTCGCTCCTTAGGCCCGAAGCCAGCTGAAAACCACTCGGACCCACAGTTTTTGTTTTCTGCAGGTCCTTATGGCCGACAGCTTCTTCATCCCCAATAACTAAGAGTATTATTTCCATATAACAATATAGGGCCTACGTCATTCTGATCAGGACCCACAACATTTTATGGTTCTGGGTCCTTAGGGTCTGCAGCTTTTCAGGGTTAAGGGCAAATACGGGGGCTCAACTGATGTCACTAATACAATGAATTTACAGACATTGAATCTGCGTGTATAATCTCTACACTGAGACACAGTAAATATCCGTGATGTGGTCCATCATATGTTGGAGGAAGCCCTGAGTGAGGCAGCTCCAAGTGTTGGTGAGACTCACAGACATGGATATATATGGTGACATAGAGTGAGTGAGTGAGTATGGCTTTACGCCGCTTTTAGCAATATTCCAGCAATGTCATGGCGGGGGACACCAGAAATGGGCTTCACACATTCTACCCATGTGGGGAATCGACTGACTGACTGACTGAGTTTGGTTTAACGCCGCTTTTAGCAATATTCCAGCAACATCACGGCGGGGGACACAAGCAATGGGCTTCACACATTGTACCCATGTGGGGTGTGGGGAATCGAACCCGGGCCTTCAGCATTACAACAGATCAGGGTCACAGCTGGAAGGAATTGGGAGCAGATCCTGGTCTCACCAAGAAACAGAAGACGCTAGATATTTTTCAGCAAAAAACCCCAAATTCTAGACATATTTTGATGAAAACTATTAAACTAGATACTTTTTTTCAAAAATAAAGAGACTTCAACGATGTTTTTTCTGAGGCTCAAAAGTTTTTGTTTGTTTAAGTAGAAGCAGAAGCACAATTATATTCTGTATTTTTCGGATGAATCTCCAGGCCCTCAACCAACAAATCAAGTGGTTGGTCACTTCTTATGTGATGGCAAGATACCTACAACACTACTGGGCTAAAGGTGCAGTAGGATTATAAGGCCTATATTGTGTTCAGCAGGTCACTCTGCAGCTGGTGCTAAACAGAGTTGCAGTATCCGTTAGTTAGAAATGTTTAAGACACTCTTTATCTGCATGTGTCTGCTTTTCCTTTTTGTAAATGAAGCTGAAATGTGAAGAATTTTGATTTGACACATTTGAAAAACAAGATGGCTGTGGTGTCTAAATGCCCTACCTCAATGACCTTGAGCCTTTAGGTGCTTGAGGAAATGAAGTTTGAATATATGGCACAGTGTTAAGAACAATATACTTTGAAGACAAGATCTGTGAAACTTGCTTTTGACTGCAAGCAAATGTATAGCATTTTTGCAATGGTGCAAATTGCCACATTTTCCTAATGGACAAGTGATTTTTCCATGTCATATTGGGAAACACACAATATGCCTTTGATTCATAGATGAATAGTTTGGCTAGTTGTATTTGCTATTGAAATGTCTCTCAGATGTTAATACACTTCTGTTTCATGTACATCAAAGGCATCCAATGTGATAGATTCCATGCCAGGTGAATGGCGTGCCAGGTGATAGACTTGGACCAGGCACGTCCACTGAGACAAACTCAATGTCAAGCGGATGACATGCCTGGGGATCACCTTCATCAAAACAAAGATCCAACAGCTTTGCCCCTAAGATACCTTCTGTCATTGTGATTGTAGCTAGTGACTGTTGACATAAATGACAATTTGGGTATCTGTTGACATCAGTGTATGGCCATGATCGTGTTATCTACTGGAGCTTCTTCACACTCACTGGTGATACTCGGACTCGACACTTACTATCCAAACATTCAATTGAATGGTGACTGTTGGCTTTTAGCATTAATTTTGTAATATCACACAGTGTCAGCTTAATATGTGCCAAGACAGCCAAGAGTGACACAGCTGGTAGATGGCTTCCACGTTAGTGAACCAGTGACTGTCCTGCTGACAGGCCAAGGATCATTATCAGGGTGAAGTTAGAAACAGAATGTACAAACATCAGGTTCTTGCATGACCAAGGGAGGTAACTCTAGGCAGGGACTAATGGGATCACCCTCGCCATGACCCTGAACATGACAGTGTCTTCCTACAAGACACAACCAGCTGGAGGAGGGGTGAGGGGGAAGGGTACTGGAGTGGGAGGGGAATGAAGGGAGAGGTGAATGAATCTAGAGGAGAATGAAGGGGGAGGGGAATGAAAGGGGTGGATAATGAATCTGAAGGAGAATGAAAGAACGGAAGGAAGGGGAGGACTGACTGACTGTCTGACTGAGTTTGGTTTTACGCCGCTTTTAGCAATATTCCAGCAACATCACGGCGAGGGACACCAGAAATGGGCTTCACACATTGTACCCATGTGGGGATTCGAACCTGGGTCTTCGGCGTGACAAGCCAACGCTTTAACCACTAGGCTACCCCACCGCCCCAGTTTATTCAGGAGTCGGTTGGTATGCCTCAGTGTATGATAAGCAAACTGGAAAAATCTCGACTGGCTCAAAATGGGCTGTGTTTAGATGGTATTGAGACTCGAGACTCCATCACTAGGCTATGAATGAATCTGGAGAAGAATGAAAGTACATAATAAAGTGGAAGGGGAACATAGGGGGTGGAGAATGAAGGGGGAGCTGAAGGAAGGGGTGGGGAACGAATCTGGAAGAGAATGAAGGCGGAGGGAAATGACAGGGAGGGGAATGAAATTTAAGGGGAAGGAGAATGAAGAGGGTAGGGTGTTTACAGGGGAGAAGGATTTAAGGTGTCTCACCAAGGTAAATCTTCATTGAAAACATCCAACAACCTTACTCTGTTGCTTAATGGCAGCCACATTTATCACATTCTGTGTTGCGGAAACCCCTTTAAATACTTCTGTGTCAGTCTAGTTGTGTCAGTGTGATATACCTCTACACTGTTACGTTGTCGGTGTAATATAGAGTCATACCCTCAAACGACAGGTTGAATGTCAGGGTTTCAAAAGGACACTCCAACAGCAGAATGAAAATAAATGGAAACTGTGACACTAGTTCCAAATATTCATCGCAATATACAAACTACACAGAAATGGGGAAAATCAATAACAGACTTACTGGTTTCCTCCGAGGAAGTTTCCCATTCTATCTCTTATCCAAATTTTACAGAAATGGTTCGTGGCTAAATCAGATGTCAATCACAAGCCTCACGCTTTCCGAACTCCAGCCCACGGGGAAAGCAACACAATTTTGAAAAAGATCAAATGGCCATGAAGGGAAGTAAGGCTGTTGTATCACTTCTTTCCGAAGCCAGGGATCTTGAAGGTATTTAAGGGTGAGCAAGATAGGTCCAGAACGACTCGCGATGTACTCCCACAATCCATCCTCTAATACATGCAAATGCCGACAATCAACTGCAAAACATCAATGTAATCCATATTTTACTCCTTTTAAATGAGATTTCGATAATCTCATGAGAGCAGACTGTTTTACACTTTCTATATAATCAATGCTTCGAAAGCTTAGTGTTACATTCTTTCAACTATTTCCATAAATTGATTTCTGTAGAATATCACCTAAATCAATTATACCCACTGACTCCCAGTCCCCCAGACGATTGTCAGGACATGAAGTAAATGGTGACTATAACTGTAATGTGCTGGATTTGGGTTAGCTTACAACATGTCTGTAAATGACGTGGTAAAGTGCCATTATTTTCTACAATATCATTTTGTTATCTGTCGGTGGAATAATGAACAAAATGAGTTAACCAAAATAACAAGGTAGAATGGAACTGAGCTGCAATTTTCACTTAATCATCCAATCGTTTCCTGAGCTGAGATTAAGATCTTACTTTTTGTGGTATGGGACTGATTGCTTGTCAGAGCAGACAATTACGGCATCCTCTCAAAACACCTTGTTCAGATAACTGAAGCAAATACATAAACACTATAATGTAACTTATTTCAGAATGAGAATTGGACGTGCCAGAATCTTGTCTGGTTGTGCCAGTAGATGAAATGAAGGAGTGAATTAGTCCCAGTTTTACTCTGGGTGTAGTACACAGATTTGAATCTGGACCAGACAAACCATGGTTGAGTTTTTGGTATTGTATTTGTTAGGAATCTCATTGGGTTTTCATGTCTGTTGAAATACAATCTCAAACCTGGACCATGATAATTATCTGAGATGGCATCATTCAACTCCTTTGAAGAACTGAACCTGTTTTAACAAACCAGTGCAATATAATGACTTGGCTAACTAACTACGAGACAATTGCTGTTTGTTCATGGAGACAATAGCTGTTTGTTCATGGATAAGAGAATGTCTGTTTATTCATGGAGGCGATTACTGTTTGTTTATGGGTGAGCTAATTGCACCATGAATCACACTCCAGGAATCTATACAACCAACTCACATCTATTCCATGAATATCATAACCTTCCATCATTTGTGGATGCAGTAGCGCCCTGATGACACACAGTATGTGAAGCAGTTTTAGGGAAATTGTAGGGAGGTTGCCGGGACGATGTATGTCTCAACAGTGATGTGATCCTGGCTGTCTTTGAATTAGAACCCACCACTTGATCCCCAATTCTAGTCTCCACAGCCTCATCAATAGTTCCTGGCCCTCTCATCCATCTTCCCCAACACTCCCAGACACCTAGACTTTACCACAGGAAGCACTATCAACTGCAAGGGATGCTGGGTAGAGGCTGCATATTCTGCCCATGATTCCAAAAGGAAATGACTTGTTCCGGTGCCATGTTATGCTGGAATGGTCCACACAGCATACTGTGACCTGACTGAGCTTCAAACCCACCCCCCAGCACCTCATCTTATTGTTCAAGCAGTAATTGGTCTGGTTCTATTCAGAAATTGATTTCATTCCTAACTGTAAACGTAACCAAGATATCACTAATTGAATTAGGCAAGATCCTTATATAATGGCATTGTGTTTTTTCTGCTTAAGCCTTCTGCATTAGCTTCAATCAGATTCATTCACTCTATGTTCGGAATAGTGCCACTTAACGCTTGGGTTTGGGAAAATCATAATTACAATGTAAGTGAGTGAGTATATTTCAACCTCTAATGTTAGATAAAGCACGGACTACAAGCTTGATGAGTGAGTGAGTGAGTGAGTGAGTGAGTGAGTGAGTGAGTGAGTGAGTGAGTGAGTGAGTGAGTGAGTGAGTGAGTGAGTGAGTGAGTGAGTGAGTGAGAGTGAGCGAGTGAGTGTTTAGCTTAACATCACTTTTCGCAATATTCCAGCAATATCAGGGCTGGGGACACCAGGAATGGGCTTCACACATAGTACCCATGTCGAGAATCGAAACCCAGGTCTTCGGCATGACAAGCAATGCTTTAACAACTTGGCTACCCCACCACTCCAAGTGAATCAGTGAGTGACTGAATCAGTGAGCGAATCAGCAGGTGAGAAAATTCATCATTATCATCATATTCTCCGAAATCTGCTATCTCAGATTGTGTCGGATCAGAGCCTGAGCATACAGCCTGATTGTGTTGGATCAGATCCTCAATACAGCCTGATTGTGTGGGATCAGATCCTCAATACAGCCTGATTGTGTCGGATCAGATCCTCCATACAGTATGACTGTGTCGGATCAGAGCCTCCATCTGAATCCCAGACACAGTAACATCAACATCTTCATGCATGTGAATCCCCTTTACCACACAGTCACACATTCACCAGTGTGATAACACCCTATACTGCACTGAAACTAAGTCCCGCAGCTGAAATTAATCGTTAGGTAAGAAGTTCCTGTGTTTGATTATTTATTATTTTATTATTTATTATTTTGGATGAAAAACTATTTCAAATATCAACTACCATAATTATTTACCACACACAGACAGCAAGACGAGGTTTCCCTGTAAGCTGAATTATGATCATGCTTCATTCATGATGAGGATTATATTAATCAGTTGGAACCCTACAGCATGAGATCTACCACCTCCAGTTGGACTTAGCACAGGACGAGAAGTCATGAATAATAATGGAAACTGTAGGGATTCAGAAGGAGACTCACATAATGTGTCTGATTGGCCACCAAGCCTGTCTGTATGTATATCACACGATACACTCCTCGGCAGAGACGCCAGACACAAATTATCTTGAAGAGAGTCGACAATATTCTTCACAACTGCACTATCATCGAACCGTGGATGCGGTCATTAGGAAGCAATGTTTTCTTTGGAATGATTTATAATAAAACATTATATTGCAGTCTAGGGAATATACACATGTAGCCACTATTTTCAGGTGTTTTCAGTTCAGGCAAGTGAATATATAGAGAATCTCACCCGAGTGTCTTTTGATATCAAATATATCACCACGGGTTGATAAAGTTACAAATATCTGAGGCATGCTGAGGATATTTTTACTTTTATCAACGAGTGCTGATATATTTGATATCAGGAGACACAAGGGTGACATTCTATTTATCATCTTTTTAGTTTTCAATGAAAAATGTACATCTCTGAACACAGTACTCCCATTAGACTTGCAGTGCAGCGATGTCTTAGCATTGTGACGTCATCAAGATCATGACGTCATAGCATTGTCAGGGCATTGTGCAAAATAAACAGTCAAAATGATATCTCCTAGGAGATATCGTTTTATCTCACACAAGCAATATCTCCTGTGGAACACAGTTTTGGATGATAAATATCTATATCCACTATTTCTGATATAAATTCAGAATAGGGAAAACACATTTATATCCACTATTTTCATCATGAATTCAGGCTAGGGAATACATATTTTATATCCACTTTTTCCAAAACAATTATACACCAGGTATATACATTTATATCCACTATTTTGCCTTGTACAATTTGGACAAGGAAAGATATGCTTAGAAGTAACCACTAATTTCAACATGAGCTAAAATTTGTGCTTCCTTGTTCTTTCATAAAACAGAGAAACAAATTTGATAGTTCCATGGAACTTGTATTGATTTTAGTTTTGAATACTTTGAAAAACTAAGTTTCTTTCTCAACACACCAAGCTCATTTCTTTGAACATGGATACAGCATTTGGAAGAGATATCAAGTTCTCCACACAGGTATTGATTTCCAGGAATTATGATCGCAACACAGCAAACACATTACGTCAAGTCGTGAAAACACCATCAATTGTTAAATGAAAAGAATATTGATAAAACTTATATCCCTTAATTTGGTACATTTCCACTATATTCAGGTGACATGCCTATCCTTTCATGTGATATAGTGATTATTGACATGGGCTCTCAGGTCATATGATTGAGCTGTGATTGTAATACCCGGTTGAATACATGCATGCATTGATGTTTTACCAGGTCATCAATCTCATAAAGCATTAGAGTTTCACAACTATGTTCCTTAGTCCTGGCGTTCACATAAGGTGTCAGGTGAACAACAATTAACACGTGGAACATGAGACTGTTCAAAAACAAGCGGCCACTTGATAACGTCATATTGATTCAGCTCGGAGAATCACAACTTGATCACAACTAACATTTACCATAAAGCTATAATGTTTTATTACTCAGAGAAAAGATTATTTTTGTCCAGACACTGTTGTGTATTTGTATATCATCTTTCTCCTCATCACTGACAACACGATTGTGTACAATGATGCTCTCGACTTCACTGCTTTGTCTGGCCCAGACTTGATTATTTACAGACTACAGCTGGAACATTGCTGGTGTCAGTTGACAAACCAACACACATACCAACACAAAAACCAATAAACAAACCAACACACAAACCAACAAACAAGTAAACACACAAACCAACAAACAAACCAATAAACAGACCAAAACACAAACCAATAAACAGACCAACAAACAAATCAACACACAAACCAATAAACAGATCAAAACACAAACCAACACACACACCAATAAACAGACCAACACAAAAACCAATAAACAGATAGGCACACAAACCAATAAACAGATCCAACACACATACCAACACACAAACCAACACTCAAACCAACACACAAACAACACAACACAACACACACCAACATACAACAGACAAACAAACCAACACACAAACCAACACACATACCAACACACACACCAACACACACACCAACACACACACCAACACAAACAAACCAACACACACACCAACAATTCTTAGATCTAATGCCAGTATCCGTAGTCAGTACACAGAGACAATCAGCTATGAAGTAAGTGAAAGTATTGGTTATAAGACCTGTGGTATATAATTTGTAACTGTGTGGAGCCTTGACATAAAACATTCTACAATAATTCACAAATGACAGACAATACATGTAATTGCTGTATTGGTTTTCAGACACTTAAAACATCCATTGTTTTCTTGATTATCACATAAAGAATTGTGAAACATGTCACAAGCTTGTTGAAACAACTTAATCCTAAACACAAGCCATCCTGTGAGTATTTACATTGTCTGTGTGCCGCAACCCTCCTCGTTATAGTAAACACTGCCCGTATGAAAACATATGACGTCCAAAAAACATATAATCTGACAATAATTTAGAACTGCGTGTAAGTTCTTCTTTATATTAACCAGTCTTCATTTTCTGACAAAGGGTAGGAAATGATTTCTAAAGTTGTGCTGGTACAGTAGATCAATTCCGATACTGTTTATGAAACAACCACTTTGTAGATCGCTCGTATATAAATGCGGTCTGCTGAAAAATCTAAAGATGGGAACAGCCAAACCATAATTCATGGCTACAATGTCAGAGAGTATGGAATTCTGCTGATTTTCTGTTACTTTTACAATTCACTCACATATTTGGTGAATCGAACCATAAACTTGCATGAATTCAGTTTGTTATTCATGATCACTAGAATTGACTATTCATGACATTTTTTTTTTATAAAGGAGTGTTTTTACTTGAATCTGTGTGTATTTTAGTGAGATGTCAAAATGGAATATATCCAAGCCAGGCAAAATAATAGTCAACACTCTCATATACTCATTTGACCGTAATGTGGTCTCTGTCGTGATGAATTGACACTGTCAGTATGGTCAAAACATGTCAAAGAATATATTTTGTTCTTGTTTCACTGAAGGTAATCAGTACTACTTCAGCTGTTGACTTGCTGCTGTACTCAGTACCCAATATTCATGATCATACACGCCTCATTGTAGATTCATTGCAGCCCTAACTTCCAGATCCCACAAGCAGACGTCAGCTTCGTTCATCTCTTGTTGAAACTATGTCACATAGTTGTCATTTGTGAAGTCATGAATAGTGAGTCAGTCAGGTTTTATGCGCTTTTAGCAATATTCCAGTAATATCATGGTGGGAGGACACCCGAAATGGGCTTCACACATTGTACCCATGTGGGGAATCGAACCTGGGTCTTCAGCATGACGAGCGGACACTTTAACCATTAGGCTACCCACCGCCCCAAAATCATGAATAAAGGATGACATCATTTACAATTAATTGCTATGATGCTTTTTCATACGTCCTTCCGAAAACAATGAAAATATTGGATGAAAAGAAAGTAATTAGCAAATCAACAAAATGCAAAAAAATAATGAAAATACGTTTATCATATCCATTCCCATATGGGTAATATTTGTTTGTTCTCATTCTGTGATTCACTTTTCCACTTGTGAATTATCTCCCTTGATAGGGTAGGCAAATAACTGAAAATTTTGGTCCTTGACAGAAAGCAGAGAACGTGTGTCTTTCTAATCATGGAATATTCATAGCATGTTGCGTAGCACGTTGGCTCAATATATTGATGGCTCCTCTTGAACCAGAAACACGTTCAAATGAAGCCATTGCTACTCATGTCATTCTGTCCTGTTTGTAGCCTGTTGGACCCTAGGCGGGAGATTATTGCAATTAAATTTTTAAACTGTTCCCGCTAGGGTCCTTCTTTTGTGGAAGTAAGCTTGCCTGGAGAGATTCTGCATTTGCTGATGAAAGGTCAAAGCAGAAGCTTGAGGTTTAATATTTGCTTCAGTTTTTTCCTTCTATCCTATGTTGTGATACTTGACTGCAAGTTGTCATCAAACAGAGGTCTCTTTGATCGGTCTTTCAACCAGAAGGAACACATTTGAAAGGAGATTGAGAAATTGATCTGAAAGATGGTATTGACACACAGTAATTACATGTATATCATGGTTTAATAACCTCTGTTGCAGTATCATACAGCAAACATATTCAGCTGTAGGTTTAGCTTTATCGCTTTGATAATCATATTACATTGGGGAAAAGATACCTTTCATTGTTGGACAGCATTTGAGGGTTGACTACACAATCCAGCATCACAGGTTGTGTGTGATGGAAGAATAGCCGTGATCAATCTAACCTTAATAGCTTTTCCTCAAAAGTTGTGTCACTGAACTTCCAGAAACTTGATAATTAAATTGTTACATGTTATCATTCTTCTGCAAGTTCTTCAATTAATCAAACTGATTTCAAACTTTTGATTACCTCACGTGTCATTCCTGGCTGCGAGTTCACTGCTATTGGACAATCAATTCTATAAATCAATTTTCCACATTAAAGCAGCTCGGCCCCCTCCCTTGGAGTCAGCCTTGGTTGTCACAATATTGGCACTCTTCTGATTGGAGGTAAAGAAGTGTCTTGCTGATCTCGGACCCAGGGAAAAAGGTCGGAAGCAATTGAACAGTACAAACAACACTGAGTAATTAAATCCATCCTCTCCATATTGAAGTGGCGATGCTTAAATGACATTATTTTTAAATGACAGAGGTGATTAGCTGTGGTGATTAATGACACAATCATTGTGTTTCTCATCATCTCGTGGCAACACACCCAGTGGCATACGTTCGTCACAGACCAGCATGGATCTCTACAGACAGGGATTATTTGACTTTTCAATTAAAGACTTTGGAAGGATTTTCTAGATTTAGGATTTTTTCTAAATCAAAGTTCAAAGAGCATGTATTTCATCTCTGTATTCAGTAGAGAAGAAGCCGATGACAAGAACTGTAGGCTCAATTCTAATGTCATCATTCCTTAGCATAGCATAATATATTATCAACATACCGTACAAAATAGTATATTACCAATGTACCATAAGCTGTATTATATCATCAGTATACCATAAGCATCAGTACATCACCAATGTATCATAAGCAATGGTACTATCTCCAATATACCAAAAGAAGTGGAATATCAGTGATATACCACAAGCAAATGTATATCACCACTACATCATATTTTAAATAGTATATCAGCACTAGTGAGTGAGTGAGTTTAGTTTAACTTTTAGCAATATACCAGCAATATCATGGCGGGGGACACCAGAAATGGGCTTCACACATTGTGCCCATGTAGGAAATCGAACTCGGATCTTCGAGCAAACACCATAACCACTAGCCTACCCTATATCAGCAATCTGTTGACATTATTTTCAGCATTATTCTGAGTACCATATCAACAGTACTGCCCCTATATCAGCAATCTGTTGACATCATTTTCAGCATTATTCTGAGTACCATATCAACAGTACTGCCCCTATATCAGCAATCTGTTGACATCATTTTCAGCATTATTCTGAGTACCATATCAACAGTACTGCCCCTATATCAGCAATCTGTTGACATCATTTTCAGCATTATTCTGAGTACCATATCAACAGTACTGCCCCTATATCAGCAATCTGTTGACATCATTTTCAGCATTATTCTGAGTACCATATCAACAGTACTGCCCCTATATCAGCAATCTGTTGACATCATTTTCAGCATTATTCTGAGTACCATATCAACAGTACTGCCCCTATATCAGCAATCTGTTGACATCATTTTCAGCATTATTCTGAGTACCATATCAACAGTACTGCCCCTATATCAGCAATCTGTTGACATCATTTTCAGCATTATTCTGAGTACCAAATCAACAGTACTCCAACATCTGTTCAGTAATACATACATGTGTACATCATTTCTGCATGTTATCAGCACAGAACCAATACCAGCAGCATATTTCAGTATTTTCAGAATATTTTACAAAAATGCATCTGCAAGATTTTTGTAACATATAAACAGAATATTTCACAAACGTATCTGCAGTATTTCTGAAGAATATCAACAAAAAGTGAAGAAAAACCCCAAACATTTGCAATATTTCTGTACTATGAACAGATTAATTCACAAAAAATATCTGTAATATTACTCTTCTATTATCGACAGAATATTTCATCACCTTTTCAGGAAATGTTATCAAAAAACCCAGATCGATCAGTGCACTTGTGAATATTCATTACCGCCACAGGGGAAAGTTCTTCAGAGATTGTCAGACAGTAGATCATTCCTTGCACGCATAACTAAACATGTTTTGAATATTCTTACAGTAGAAATGATAATTGTCCACCTGGGATTTAAATCCATGTGAAATCTGATAGCTGGTTCCACTGAAGAGCAGGGTCAGAATAGCATGGAAGGATGACTTAGCTCTGGTTGGCTAAGAGCAAGGTGGACTATAGTTCTGTTGTCAAGTTGACTACCTAAGAATGTCATGATACAAAAAACACCATGACTAAAAGCAAGGCAGAATATAGTTCTGTCATCACGTTGACTACACCAGAATGATACAAAGATTCCATGAGTGAGTGAGTGAGTTTAGTTTTACGCAATTGGGGACCGATGACATGTGTGAACCAAGTCAGCGAGCCTGACCACCCAATCCCGTTAGTCGCCTATTACGACAAGCATGGGTTACTGAAGATCAATATTCTTTCTAACCCGGATCTTCACGGGTCAAAGACTCCACGACTAAAAGCAAGGCAGGCTATAGTTCTGTCATCAAGCTGACTACACCAGAATGTCATAATACAAAAAACTATATGACTAAAAGCTAGGTGGACTATAATTCTGTCATCAAGTTGACTACCCTAGAATGTCATAATACAAAAAAACTCTTAAACATTAAACGAAAGTATCCAGTAAAAAATGTTCTAGTGTATACAGTTTCTCTATGGACAATGCATTAACAGGTACTACAGAAAACGTTGGAAGTCTTTAGAGCCATCAAGTTATCTGTACCTAAAGATGGGTTGAGATCTCATTCAGAACTTGGACTTGACCATACACATGTAGCCTGAATTTCATTGACTGTTATTTGGAGAAGAATGGTCCAGACATGATAAAACTCTCTCTCTGCATCAATGCAAGCAGATATCATACATCAATTTGCCCAAAACACTAAAAAACAGTTTTTAATCATCCTTGAGTTTTTTTCCACATTAGTTAGAGAATATTTTGCTGGTTCGTCTTACGTTCATTGTGAGATATTGTTCGAAAGCACCAGACAAATACATCTTCAAAACTATCAAACACAGTTGGGTGATTTCCAGTAAAATGGTTCTTGCTAAAGATCTGCCCATCTAGACTGCTCTACGAGCTCAGCTAACTGTCAGACTGGGAATGAAACAAGCCAAGAATGAAGGAATCTGTCCTGGGATATGGTACCACATAGGTACATTAACCTCCAGTCATCGCAGGACTGCCTGACTGTCAGAGTCAGGATGAAATACAGGAAGAATGAGGTAGTCTATCCTTGGATATGGTGCTACACAGGTACATTAAACACCAGCCATCACTGTCGTATGATCTCAGCAAGACCCTGGCAATTTCCTACCAAGCTCCGAGGCGTCACACCTTCAGACAGAGAGTCTCAGACATTGGGGAAGACTGGAGTCATTTATCAGCTTGAGGATGGTAGTGTCTATACTGCTTCTTACAGAACACTAACACTCTAGCCTCGTCTTACAGGACACTTATACTCCAGCCTTGCCTTATAGAACACTTACACTCCAGCCTTGTCTTATAGAACACTTATACTCCAGCCTTGTCTTACAGAACACTTATACTCCAGCCTTGTCTTACAGAACACTTATACTCCAGCCTTGTCTTACAGAACACTTATACTCCAGCCTTGTCTTACAGAACACTTATACTCCAGCCTTGTCTTACAAAACACTTAATACTCCAGCCTTGTCTTACAGAACACTTATACTCCAGCCTTGTCTTACAGGTCTTGATACAAGCACGTAGCTTGGTCACTATCTTCTTACCTTCATCATACAAGTGAGTGAGTGAATTTGGTTTTACGCCGCATTGAGCAATATTCCAGCAACATCATGGCAGGGGACACCAGAAATGGACTTCACACTGGGGAATGGACTTGGGGAATTGAACCTGGGTCTTCGGTGTGACGAGCCAACGCTTTAACCTCTAGGCTACCCCACCACTCCACATCATACAATCTGTGACTACTTTTGTAATATATTTAAAATGATTGCTCTTCGAAGGATATTTTTTAACGTTAAATCCCAGTATGACCAATGATCAAAATGGTTTC